CCAGTCTGGTTCAGAAAACAAAAATATCATGCAATAAATTAACTTTGTTAGCGTACCAAGTCGTCTGGGTTGAACATGCCCTGGAAAGAAGAAAAAAAAATAGTTAGTATCAAATAAGACAACACAAAATTTAAGAAACTTTTTTCTTATCTAAGAAGATATTATAGAATTTTATTTTCTGTAAATATTACTTTTGTATGTAGTTTTTAATTTTTAAGTTCCCTGTAAATTAATTGTAAATAACTGTAAATTGTAATGGAACACTTAAAAAAACAATGTATTACCAATATGAATCATCAGAATTATTGTAGCAACCCTTTTACAGTTTTATTATTGTTTATTTATTTAAACATTATTTATTCAAATAAGTAAACAAATGCAGCCATTGGAAAGTAATGATTTCTCAAGTGAGTCTGGATTAGAGATGAAACGGATAGTTGTTTGGCCGGATACCGGATACCGGATATCCGGCCAGCTGCTAGGCCGGATAGCCGGATATCCGGCGGCCGGATAGTTGGCTCATTGTCTCGTTGCATATCGTGACGAGTTTAGCGTCGCACAGGTGCTTCGAACGCGATGAGAGCCCCGATTACGGTAATTTTTAACGTCAACAATCCAGACACGCTTCTCGATTCTGCGATACCATTGGTCGTTCAACAGCGTACGTCAGCTGTTTTGACCAATCGTATCGCAGAATCAGAAACGCGTCTGGATTGTAGACGTTATAAAAGTTACCGTAATTGGGGCTCAGTGGGTCTATTAGTAGGCTAGACTAGTCACACTTTTCGAAAATCGAATCAGTCCGAATAGAATGTCAGATTTTGCCACTTGTCTAGGGGGCAGATCAATTCGGGCGATTTCGGTTGCCATCGTGAGTGTGTGATTGAATAGCGAAAATTAAATTAGTTTACTTGCTGCATAATCTGACTGAATTGCATCAGATCATCATCAGTGAAAAAAGATCGCCTATTTCATTTGGCAATATTTCGATTTGACAGGTATTTTTAAAGTTTATGTATTCGTCATTAGAGTGAATAGGCCAGAAAAAGAAATAAGTTTTTTTAAAGGCCTTAATAATGGCTTTTTGTAACTTTTTGGACTTTAAATTATTAGAGGCCGGTCGATCTATTCTCATAAATAAAACACTGGATACTTAACTTTCACATTATATTGCATATTGCCTTATTTTAAATACAATTCATCACTTAGCACAAAAGCGCGCGGAGTCGTCTCCGCGCGTCCCTCTATTCTTTTAGAATCAGCTGCTCCAATAATGACAATAATGTCGATTACACACATGCCATCTTAATCTAGGCACCATAGCTCATATGCCCAAAATGTTACCACCGAAGAAACTCATCCTTTGATGCCCAATTAGGCCTTTATCCAAGGTTTCTATCAGGTTTGTTAAACCACCACAAAAATACAACTTATTGGTTCCGATAAACTCCAAATCATAGAACTGTAACCCATTCTACTTCCAAGAATGGAAAGAACCCTCACTGTTGATGAGCAATGGACTGTATGTTCGTGGGCTAGGAACCGGCATAAATCTTGAAGGCAGAGTACTTGTTGTAGACAGCTTTATTTCTGAGTTCTTCGCTTTTTCTTTTCGACCACTTTGATTTCTTAACTCGCTTCTTATCTATTTGAATGAATTAAACTAGTCAGCTGGAATGCCCTGCTCCCTATTTTATACTCTTCCCTTTCTCTCGCGATATTGCCATCTCTGTCTCTCATGTTCTGGAATATTCAAAGCGAGAGGTCCGATGTGACCGTCTCGTTATATTCGATCTTCAAGTCATCGTCCTTGCCNGGACATGGTAGACCGCCTTCCTGTGGTCTTCGTCCACTTGAAAAATCACTTCTTTGCTTGCTTAATGTCGTTGAAGCTTTCCACGAAGTCACCACTACAGCGCCCGGCGTATGCCGTTCTCAGTAGGTTAGGTTACTTGCTCATGATACTGCCTCTTCTCTTCGGTATTATTCAGAATTAATTTAGAACATTGTGAACTCGTAATGACGTAATTATAATGAAGTTATACAATACAATACAAATAAAATAAAATTCTATAACTTTTATGTAATATCATAATTGAATAAATTTTGGTCACCCACACTAATGTTCAATTTTAGTAATACAACCCAAATCAATACTGGCAGCAGAAATTAATTGATAAGTTGGAGAGATTCAATATTACCATTATCTTTACTCAAAATATAGCATCATGTAACATATTATTGTGTCTTGCATCTACAGTAATCAGGAGTACACAATAATTATGTTTCACAATAATTGAAGTATCAATCACTATAAGAATACCAAAAATCCACATGTTCAATGGTAAAACTGGCTGCTTTACTTAATTCCAATTAACTAAATGTATTAAGTTATCTCATCTTGTAGTATTTACTAACATCAAGAAAGAAACATCATGATACTAAAACTGGTTTACACAACACAGACCTTAGCTTCAATTTACTTGAATAAAACTAATTATTAATTGTTCTCCAAAATAATGCCAAGAGGTTACTCGGGCATGATTACCAACCTTATTTAATTTATCTGACCAAATTCTATCTATTTTTTGTAGATTTTAAATCTCAACAGGTTATTCTTCGCAGAATGTAAACATGAACAAAATGAACACCGTTCAATTTAATTTGATTTACTAAAATAGCTTATTAGGCATTGAAATTAAAGTGAGCACATACCATAGCTTTCACACACATTCCTGGCATTATCAGTAAAGACTGACAATACTTATAACATTTGATGCATCATTCACTTACATGCATTATTTTGCTCAAAAAGGAAATGTGTTAATATTGTTGCTGTTGGAATAATCGATAATAATAATAAATCGTACCTGCTCTGGGGCCATCGTTAGTCAAATTGTTCACCACTTACGTGACCACAAGCCAAGCTACGGAGGGAGTATCTTCATAATTCGAGTCCATCATTTCTCGTACTTAAATACTTTTCTGCATCTCACACAGTTGTCAGCGTGGTTTCCTTGACATTCTCTCTTCATCATATTCCATTATAATCATAGAATCGTGGGCGTTTTGATAACATTCGTGACAAATAACACGAAACATTGGTCACCTGGAACACTTTGAAATCACGTTACTATCATAGGTTTCAGATCTCACTTCTGAACTATTAGAGGCCGGTCGATCATGCATTATTTTGCTCAAAAAGGAAATGTGTTAATATTGTTGCTGTTGGAATAATCGATAATAATAATAAATCGTACCTGCTCTGGGGCCATCGTTAGTCAAATTGTTCACCACTTACGTGACCACAAGCCAAGCTACGGAGGGAGTATCTTCATAATTCGAGTCCATCATTTCTCGTACTTAAATACTTTTCTGCATCTCACACAGTTGTCAGCGTGGTTTCCTTGACATTCTCTCTTCATCATATTCCATTATAATCATAGAATCGTGGGCGTTTTGATAACATTCGTGACAAATAACACGAAACATTGGTCACCTGGAACACTTTGAAATCACGTTACTATCATAGGTTTCAGATCTCACTTCTGAACTATTAGAGGCCGGTCGATCTATTCTCATAAATAAAACACTGGATACTTAACTTTCACATTATATTGCCTTATTTTAAATACAATTCATCACTTAGCACAAAAGCGCGCGGAGTCGTCTCCGCGCGTCCCTCTATTCTGACGTTTGATTCTCGCGTGACATTGACAATACGTCAATGTCACTATGACAGCAGCTCATTGGCTATAACGATACCGCTATTTTAACGTTTTATATTTTTCACAATTAACAAAATAAAAGACGCCATTATTATATGACATTTTATTGATGTTTACCTCAAAGATTAATGTATTTCATTTTATTAAAACAGGAAATTGTCGTAGTTTTTTAATATCCGGTATCCGGCCGGATAGTGAGTTACTATCCGGTATCCGGCCGGATAGTAAATTTAGGCCGGATATCCGGCCTACCGGATAGTTACCGGATATCCGTTTCATCTCTAGTCTGGATTTCACATACATGATTAAAATTAATATGAAATGAAATTGAACATTGAAAGTAAACCTTTGTTTTATTTCATCAAATTATTGTTGATATTATTTCAAATTACCTTAGCACGACGCAGAATGGAGTCCTTGCTAGCATCATAGGGGTGGTCTTTGGAGGGGATCTCGAGCACAGCAGGCACGGGGGCGGTGTGGGCGTCGATCACGTGTCGGACCAGCTCAGCGATGTTCTGGTTGATGAGGATGATGTCGATGTCATCGCGCTTCACGAACCTCTTGAAACACTCCTCAATTTCACTCACCGCTGTGTCTGAAAGTTGATTTTGTTACAATTTATTGACAATATGACCACAAATGATTATTATATTTTGATGACATTTCTATGAATGTTTAGTGATTAACGCAGTAGTCTTTATGACGATATTTGGGCAATATTTTTGGGGAAACCTAGTGGCTAGGGCGGGTCCTTTGGATAAATGGTATACTTACTCTTGTCAACAACCATGAAATTCGGGTGTCTGTTCTTGTTAATCTCGCCGATACCACCAAGAAGGAATCCGACGCATGTATCCTGTAATCAATTTCAGTCGATTTATAGCCAAAATAATGGGTAAAACAGTTTCAGAAATGCGACACTTCTTTGTCAATTTTTTTCCACTAATTTAATGCATTTAGGGCTAAGATATGCATAACAAATACCTCATCACCGATGACACTGATTAGTTTTCCCTTAACAGCCGCCTGCAAAGCCATTTTTCCGAGATTTTAGTTTATTTTCTGAATTTATTTTGAGGAATTGAGAAATGTCACAAGAGCTCGTCACCTGACTTTAATGATTTTTGTCTTCAAGTTGGTAGCCTTGGATGCAATAAAAACATTCAAATGGTTTCGTTCATTCATTCATCATTAAAATTGCCGAGAATGTCAACTATATTTATATGGCAACATCATTTCATAATACTCTGTGGAAAGATTTCTTATCTGTGATCAATTAAATGTCATTTTGACACATTATGATTTGTGTTTGGTTGGTGTGCGCTTTTATTAAAATTTAAAGAAATTAAGCTTATAATAAGATTAACCAACATAAATTGGACAAATTATATAACGGCACAACATGCTTAACATCCAGAATTACGGTAGCAGTTCAGAGGACGAAGGGGACAATGACTCAGAGATAGTTAAACAGCACAGCAATGAAAGTATGTTGACGCATTTAAAACCTGTTGATCCTAGTTTATCCGTAGCTAAAACGATGCAGGTTTGTGCTGCACCTGTGGTGATGCCCACTGTAAGTATTTCATCCCCTATACCAAGGTTAAATGGAGTCTGAATTATTGTAAACAAAGTCGGTTTAGATGTCTACCTATAGGTCCTTGCCCTTACTAATAACTTACTATTTACAGAATAATGACGATACAAGAGTGCTAGTACCTGCCAATCAGGAGTTAATGCACAACCCGAAGTATGAGGAACTCTATGCACCCACATTTGGTCCAGAGAATCCTTTTCAGACCCAACAGATGAAGGCAAATCGCAACATGTTGTCAGGCTTTGTGGAAAAGGCACATATCAGTGACTTTCAGTTTGAGAACCAGCGGAGAACATTCACAAGTTACGGTTATGCTGTGGATCCTTCTACTGACGGCGATGCTGGTCCAGCAGATGGCATTGTTGGTATGTGAAAACATAAATCAAGTTTCTATCAGCAGGAATCTATTCATCTATTGAGATATTAGAGGGTTATTGAGAAATTTCTGAATTTGCCTTCAAAGCAATTTTGACCAGAGGCTTTGGCTAATAGTCGTTTGTAATAATTACATAATTATGTACTTCTTAATTAATTATTCTGTCTAATGACTCTTAATAAGTGGATTTTTTTTCTATTTACAATAATTATGTTATAAATGATTGATATTTAATTTTGATTCTCATAGAGAACCAATTTATTACGATTTCAATGGTTTTTTACTAATAATATTTTCAGTGTCAGCAATGGTAGCACCACCACCTGAGTCCGAAGGCAAGTCAGTGTTTGAGACAATAAAGAAAAGGCCACTTGATAAGAAGAAACGGAACAAGAACGATAACCCTGAGGATGTCACTGGCTTCCTGGGACCTTGGGGAGGATATGTTGGAGAAAAAAGGTATTTGTCAATTAAATTTTTAGTATTTCTCATATTCCTTACCAAATAGATTCCTATAAAATCATACCAAATATACTTTTCATTCTCATTGGGAACATAGCCAGTTGCAATTTGCTCAAAAACTGTTTATTGATTTTAAAATTGGATAGAAACATTTCTTAATTTATTTATTTCAGGGTAATGAAACCAGAAGGGGACGAAGCGAAAGAATTAGAAGAAATATTAGCTAAAAGACAGAAGAAAGGCAAAGTGGAAGATGACAAGCCTTTGGAGGAGAAATCTATATTCCATTGTAAGTTAAATAATAAATGTCCACATAGTTATCTTTTTCTGAATCTGTTGCTATTCTGTTGACTTTATTTTTATAGTTTATATTGAAATGTTTATTGTTATTATTACTTGAGAACAATAAATATTCTTAGACACTTCATTATCCAGTCCCAAACTAAGCTAAGCTTGTAAAATGGGGTACCAGATTCAGAACAGATTCTAGATGTGTGCACTAACCTATAGTGGTTATGTCAGTTGTTTACAGAGGCTTCAGGGATGTGTTAACCTAAATTATGTATTTATGAACTTACATTATGTGTTAACACAATGTTCTGCTTTTGCCGCAGTGGACAAGGCGTGCGACTACCAGGGCCGCTCGTGGGTGGAGGCGCCGCGCAGTGAAACTCAGCTGCGGAGCGACACTCCACCAGACAAGTGCTTCCTACCTAAGGTAACTTATATTAAACAGTTATTTAATTTTTAGCATTAGGACTTGCATCTCAAACTAATTATAAACTAATGTATTATATCAGCTCTCGATCAAACTTCAACACATATGACGATCGGAGAAAAACCGACATGGGTCCGGTCGTATCGCATACCTACCGTATAATCAAACTGGTGTTGGCGATCCTCATACTGTGATCGGATCGGGCAAATGTGACATAGCAGGACACGGTTTTATTTTTGAAAGGATTTGATCATGACTATCTGCACCCTTGTATACTTGGGGACTCTTGTCAGGTAAACAGATTGGGAAAGGAATATTTAAGAACAGTACAAAGCACAATATCAATTTGGTTTATAATGTGTTTTAGTGAGATTTTGTAGGCCAATATTATGACTCCTCGTTTCAGCCGAAAGACGTCCACTGCTGGACAAAGGCCTCCCCCAGGATTTCCACAAAGACCGGTCCTGCGCCGCTCGCATCCAGGCACCTCCCGCGACACTCACCAGATCGTCGGTCCACCTAGTGGGAGGCCTGCCCACGCTACGTCTTCCGGCTCGTGGCTACCCAACATTAAGAATTTCTACATAATATGTATATTATACCTTCTACATGTTTGTTCGTCCGTTGCAGGCACACATCCACACGTGGAAGGGGCACACGAAAGGCATCGCGGCGGTGCGGTGGTTCCCCGCTACGGCGCATCTTATGCTCTCGGCTGGCATGGACTGTAGGGTCAAGGTAATGCTGCCGTTGAAGGGTACCAAACCAGATGCTCCATGACACCATTGCACCAATCTGTCGCCAAATCCGCTACCCATTGACGATGGAAAATAAATTGCACTTGGAAAACGTTGATGCAATAACCAGTCAATTGTAGGCTTAATAAAGCTGCGTATTTCAATAATACTTATGTATGATTATCTTAATAAAAAAGATTGTTCAACGGCCAAGTCACACAACATTAAATATAATAATAAAGAAATCGCAGTAAGGAACCATAGACTTGGCACGACTTTGTCTAGATTTCATTACTTTTTAGAGATAAACAGGCAGCTCCATCGAGACTTGGCTAATTTTTTACAGAATGTTTTTGGTGGGATTTCACTTCTTTTTGTAGAATGTGGCATAATTTTTTCTACGATATTAAACACAAATAAACTATTATTACAATCTGTTCACACTCAAGTTAATTGTATGCAATTTCATGCCAATGACAAGAATAAGCACAGTTAAACAACCAAGCCGCAGTGGCACTGCTAGTCTCAGCCCAACCCTTGCAATAAAACATTAATTCAACTCACCAAATATCACAGCTGATTCCTTTTGTATTGCATTTACACTCACCAAATATCACAGCTGATGCCTTTTGTATTGCATTACCTTCTGTCCAACTCCAAATTACTTATGTGGAGTACCCTTGCTCAGTGTTCAGCTTCACTCTGGTATTGTGCTTGACTGATTTGCTCACCACAGGGCCAACCCGCAGACAGATAAGTCACCACATCTAAAACTCAAGTCAAATCTAAAAATATGCACACACAACATGCTACAACCAGTAACCTTTTTATTAAACAGCTAATAAATAACCTCAAGATTAAAATCATTTTCACCATGCGAGAATAATTAACAATAATGGCTGGTACACAAGAATACCCTTCAAGTTAAATGTACCACATTCTATAACTTTTATGTAATATCATAATTGAATAAATTTTGGTGACCCACACTAATGTTCAATTTTAGTAATACAACCCAAATCAATACTGGCAGCAGAAATTAATTGATAAGTTGGAGAAATTCAATATTAACATTATCTTTACTTAAAATATAGCATCATGTAACATACAGTGTGAGTCACGTTAAAGTGTACATATGAAAATAGATGAAACTAGACCTATTTTTATCGAGGTCAAAATTTTTTTGAGATTTTTTTTCAATTTTTTATAGATTTTTTTTTCGTCCAATTACTTATTGTAAAGAAAACGTAATAACTTTAAAACTAAGCGGTATATCCTTATAAAATAAAAACAGTAATAATGCTTAATAACAGGCAATAATAAAAAAAAACATAAAATACACAAAAAATGCCATCAAATAATAAAAAATGACACTTTTTGAAAAAAATATGCTTTTAAATTCATGTTTTTTTGGTTATTTGATAAATTTATCCAAAAAATGCCCCTATAACAGGTGGTTTTTATTACTTTGTAATATTCTCTATCGTATTACCTTTGTAAAACCAAAAATCTCATGTCTCTATCTCTATCAAAACATTTGCTATCATCGTTTGAACAAAGGTCTGCCACAACATTATTCTCCGCTACAGGTAGAGACAATTTTAATTTTAACTAAAATGATTATTTTACTTCGAAATCTTTTGTTTTTAATTGAAATCTAACTTGTCCTTATCAAAATTACAAATGTAGAGCCATTTTCAGTTTCGTTGTTAACGAAGCGTTGAATGGCGCGCCCGGAGAGGCTTAGTTCAAACGATCATTGCAAACGTTGTGATAGGGATAGACCCATGCGATTTCTGGTTTTACGAAGGTAATACAATAGAGAATAATAAAAAGTAATAAAAACCACCGGTTACACGGACATTTTTTGGAGAAATTTATCAAATAACCAAAAAAACACGAATTTAAAAGCAGATTTTTTTCAAAAAGTGTCATTTTTGGCATTTTTTGTGTATTTTATGTATTTTTTTTAGTATCGCTTGTTATTTAACATTATTACCGTTTTTATTTTATCAGGATATACCGCTTAGTTTTAAAGTTATTACGTTTTCTTTACAATAAGTAATTGGAAGAAAAAAAATTCTAAAAAAAATTTAAAAAAAATCTCAAAAATTTTTTGACCTCTTTTTTGTCGATAAAAATAGGTCTAGTTTCATCTATTTTCATATGTGCACTTTAACGTGACTCACACTGTATTATTGTGTCTTGCATCTACAGTAATCAGGAGTACACAATAATTATGTTTCACAATAATTGAAGTATCAATCACTATAAGAATACCAAAAATCCACATGTTCAATGGTAAAACTGGCTGCTTTACTTAATTCCAATTAACTAAATGTATTAAGTTATCTCATCTTGTAGTATTTACTAACATCAAGAAAGAAACATCATGATACTAAAACTGATTTACACAGCACAGATCTTAGTTTCAATTTACTTTATTAAAACGAATTATTAATTCTTCTCCAAAATAATGCCAAGAGGTTACTCGGGCATGATCACCAAACTTATTTAATTTATCTGACCATATTCTATCTATTCTTTATTGATTTTAAATCTCAACAGGTTATTCTTCGCAGAATGCAAACATGAACAAATGAACACCGTTCAATTGAATTTCATTTACTAAAATAGTTTATTAGGCATTGCAATTAAAGTGAGCACATACCACAGCTTTCACACACATTCCTGGCATTAAATAACAAGTGCCACGCCATCTAGCGATGAGCGGTACAGGCGAACACCACGGTTGCCGGTGTGGCGCTAGTAGTATTGATTGTGAATGTGGTGTTACTCCAGATCTTCGATTTTCCTAGTTTTTATAGTTTTCCCTTTATGTAGTCATTAAACCCTAACTCTGTACCAAATTTCAGCTCTCTGAGTTAATGGGAAGTACTAGTTCTATTTTGATGATCATCAGTGAGTGAGTGTCGTAAATGCGAAACTTTGCTTTCGCTTAACTTCGGAACTAAATGACATACAAACTTGAAATTTTGGATTTTAAGTATGTGATTATAGCTTACTAGATGACAAAAATTTCTGCGTTCTGGTCTTATCCAGAGGTTCTCAAATAGAGGCCTGAAAATGCGGCGAAATGGTTCCAGTAAAGATGGTACGGCAGTGTTTGCTTCGCGCTCGACTTGGCGGGGGCACTGCCGTGCCCCCAGATCAAAACTAGCTTTCCGCCCGCGGCTTCGCTCGTGTGGAATTTTGTCTGTCACAGAAAAACTTTATCGCGCGCGTCCCTGTTTGAAAAAACCGGGACAAAAACTATCCTATGTCCTTCCCCGGGACTCGAACTATCTCTATGCCAAACTAACTCGAACTATTTCATCAAAATCGGTTCAGTGGTTTAGGCGTGAAAGAGAGACAGACAGACAGAGTTACTTTCGCATTTATAATAATAATATTAGTATCGATGATCCCACCGTATACTTACACATTTTCGTCTTATTTACCTTTAAATAGGGCAGATGAAGTTTTTCCTTTTTGCATTCGAAATTAATTTCAATTATGCTCAAAAAACAAAGTTAAGGGTAAACTTCTAATCGTTTTGCGTCTACTTTTCGTCCTTTATGACATAAAATATGGCACACCTGATTTCTACCTTTTTGACGGACACCTGTCGTTTAAAAATATGTTTCTTTGCTATACACAGGAGTGGGAATTACGAGGGGTAAGATTAGTCCCGTTAAGAGGCGGATAACCTTCGATCCCAAGATTTGTATGGAGAGTCGCAATACATCCCGACTCACAAAACTTCCCATATTAGAAAAAGATTTTTACAAAGTTTTATTGTTATTTTCAGATCTGGGAAGTTTACGGCGACAGGCGTTGTATTCGCACATACTTCGGGCACCGGCAGGCTGTTAGAGATGTTAACTTCAATAATGCAGGCAATCAGTTCCTTTCAGCTGGTATGTGAACGTTTACATTTTAAAATATTAGTACAGGTCAAATTATTACCTGATGAAAAATAACCAACAATAATCATTATAAATTGTAAAACTTTGCTTTAGTTTGCATAGGTAGCCTATGGTTATTGGTGTAGAACTGCAGACCGATTCAAGGTTTTTAAAAAGTTTGGTAATAAATAATTTTTCAGTTAGCAATTTCCATTGCAATACAAACAGGGCCGTCTTTAACCTACTAGGGGCCCTGGGCACTTAAGGATCAAGGGGGACCCATATCATCTGGAAAAAGGTCTTTTGAGTAGACAGGGGCCCTCTCGGTCGCGGGGCCCTGGGCACGTGCCCAAAGTGCCCAATGGGAAAGAGGGGCCTGCATACAAAATCTACGAGGGCCGAGTTTTGACAGCTGAAAAGATTGTCTATTGACTAAGAAGTCCATTACCTTGGAATTATTCGTTACATTTAACTACTCAACTGCCATCTATTTTCTTTTAATAACAATTTTATTTTATTCCAGCGTACGACCGCTACATCAAGCTGTGGGACACGGAGACTGGTGAATGCGTGTCGCGGTTCACGTCACGTAAAGTCCCGTATTGCGTCAAGTTTAACCCCGACGCGGACAAACAACATCTCTTTGTAGCCGGCACATCAGACAAAAAGATCATTTGTGTGAGTCATCATCAATTTATCATCATAATTGTCATCAGGACTAAAATCCGGTCGTCGAGCAGATAGAATTTCGTCCAATGACCCCAAGCTACCCATCCTTAACGCTCGCGTGCAATTATGTTGCTGTCGCGCTCGCACACTCACTCTATCTGCTCGGCGACCGGACTTTAGGATGCGCGCTATTATAGAGTTTTGTCGATGATGTCAGACTACAAATGTATGGGCTTATCGTCTAGCGTCGATAAAACGATATAATGGCGCGTATCTTAGGTTAACAGGTCATAAAGCCGTGAGAAGTTTGACCCCGACGCGGATAAGCAACATCTCTTTGTGACCGGCACCTCAGACAAGAAGAGTTTACAATCATGAGGTCATTTTGTCTCCACTGCAAAAGCAGGACTTTCTAATTTATCAAAGGCAAATATAAGATTTGGTCTACACTCCTCAGACTGGGGGACCACAGACGGGTTTGAGAGGCCTGTTGTTCGAATATTTTATTATTCCTTTGTTACCTCTTATAACGTCCACGGCATAGGAATGTCATACTATCATCCATTAGATTATTGCTCTATTAAACAAATAATTCTAACAAAAAAGATATAACTACGGCTAAAGTACGAACCGTTCGTCGGTATGACAGGCAGAGGATAGGTGAAAGCGGGCTAACATGCTTTGTAGCACTTCTAAGAGGGGCCTTTACGTCCACCAGTAATGGACTGTCATTGGCTAAAATGATGATGTCTGCCTGAATTCAAGTAGACGATAACGGGCATAGTTAGAATAATTATTTTGTTCAGTAAGGTATTTTAACTTTTTTTTTAACAGTGGGACAGCAGAAGCGGCGAAATAGTGCAAGAATACGACAGACATTTAGGCGCCGTCAACACAATCACCTTCGTCGACGAAAACAGAAGATTTGTCACCACCTCCGACGACAAGAGTTTGAGAGTATGGGAATGGTAAGTTGAGAAAATCAAAAATTAATTGAGAGATAATCTAGTAAAGTTTTTAAAATATACTTTTTACTGTTAAGTTTGTATGTATAAGTAGTGTTAGTGTAACTGGGTTGGGCACTTGTCCAACTGTACTTTTGGTTTGAAACACACAAAATAATCAAAATATGTGCTCATTATCCACTGCGGTAATAGTACTCAACGTTCGAATAATCCTACTATATATATTATAAATCCGAAACGTTGGATGTCTGGATGGTTGTGTGTTACTTTTTCACGTAAAAACTACTGAACGGATTTTGATGAAAGTGTACCGTATTATTGTTTATAACCCAGAATAACATATAGGCTATAATTTATGACGATATGTGTGTGACAAACTAAATTTCACGCGGGTATAGCCGCGGGCTAAAGTTAGTCTTTAGTACTACGCAAGCAATGTACACTGTTTACATTATGACGTCGCTGCTGTCATCATTGTTACGAGCAATGTGTTCTGTTTTTGGGCATATTGCTGCGGCACTGGCCCCGCCCCCTTTTCACATCTCCCTTTAGTTCTGAGGTTCCCTAACTTATTTGAGACGCGTCCCCTTTCGACCATACAAAAAATGAAGGCTATCGTTTTTATACTTAACAGTTGGCACCCCTGGCGATTGACAGGACCTTACTCTACAGTGGCGCCATCTTGATGAGTGCAAATGCGATAGTCCTCCTACCACTTTAGCGCTCACCAGTTGGGTGCCGCTGTCTTCGCTACTAGTAAGTGACAAGACCTTACTCTACAGTGGCGCTAACTGGTGAGCGCTAAAACGATAGCCCTCATTGCGCGCGAGCGATAAGGATGGGTAGCTAGGGGTCATTGGACAAAATTCTACGTGCTCACAGACCAGACTAGAAGGTGACATCTGTGTTTATACAATGTGTATTTGTGACTTGTTAGGGACATCCCGGTAGACATGAAGTACATCGCGGAGCCGTCGATGCACTCGCTGCCGGCCGTCACCGCCGCGCCCAACGGCAAGTGGCTCGCCTGCCAGAGCATGGACAACAAGGTACCATCATCATTATCATCATCTCAGTCACAGGACGTCCACTGCTGAACATAGGCCTCCCCCAATGATTTCCACATCGCCCGGTTGATATACAGGGTGTTAGGTAAATGGGTATATGAGCCGACACTAGCCCATGTTAACATATGCATATAAATGGTATGGTGAACTCAGAAATTTATTATCATAATTTTAATTTTATTAATTTTCAAACAAAATAAAATTTATAAAATCAGATTTGTATGAAAATTAAAATAATTAAAATGATGATATCAATTTTCTGAGTTCACCATACCATTTATATGCATATGTTAACATGGGCTAGTGTCGGCTCATATACCCATTTACCTAACACCCTGTATATCGTACTTTCATCCACGAAGACGCGCTCCACCAATGTTTGGTCTCGGTCGCGCGGGGTGCGGGGAGTTTGCTCCGAGCAATCCATTATTGTAGTGTGCGTGTGCACTCATAGATGATTTAGCGTGTACCGATACTCCGACACCGACCGACACTCAAACATTAGCAGAAGAATTGTGCGGCGCGTCTTCGTAGATGAAACGATCTATGTATAGCGGCCTGCATCCAGCGCCTTCCTGCTATCTTCATGAGATCGTCGGTACACCTTGTAGGTGGACGTCGCACGCTGCGTTTTCCGGTACGTGTACGGTTATTTGTCATCAATTTCTTAGACTGTGGTCTCCTATAAAACCCGTAGGCCGCGTCACAATGCTTACTATAGAAATGTGGTCTCCTTCAAATGTTGACGTTGGCGTATGGAAGCCATACATTTCTAAAGAAGCATCGTGACACGGTCTATGACGTTTATAGAAGACCAGAACGAGAAACAAACCATTTTAAGAGCTTAAAGTCTAACAACGGGTGAATCGATTTGAATGTGCTTTTTTACACCATCATCATTTCAGCCACAGGACGTCCATTGCTGAACATAGGCCTCCCCCAATGACTTCCACATCGCACGGTTGGTAGCGGCCTGCATCCAGCGCCTTCCTGCTACCTTTATCAGGTCGTCGGTCCACCTTGTGGGTGGACGTCCCACGCTGCGTTTTCCGTTTTCCTTTTTTACATGGCATGAATTAATGAACTGTTCCTACTAGGTGGTGGTGTTCAGTGCTCTAAACCGCTTCAAGGCGAACCGCAAGAAGGTGTTTACAGGACACATGGTAGCGGGCTACGCCTGCTCCGTCGACTTCTCGCCAGATATGAGGTTAGTTGACACCGTTTATTATTGTGAATTGTTCTTTTATATAGCAGACTTGGCTATTGAGAATCACGATTTTGCCAATGTAAATCACTTAAGATACAACCACACCAACGCGTGCTGATCGCCATCGCCGGCGCGACCAATGACAGGTCGCGCGACTCATGACAGTTCACGCGACTCATGACAGTTCACGCGACTCATGACAGTTCACGCGACCTGTCACTGGCCTTTGATCGCGCCGGCGATGGCGATCTGCACGCGTTGGTGTGGTTGAAGCATTAGGTCGTATGTGTGGTTAAACGATTCTGAAACGTCAAGTGGCAAAAATCGGAACTAATAACTGAGTTTGTTCCGGCGTTTCTTCTCAGCACTTGCCATATTATGACGTTTGTCTCGAAGCGCTGGTAGGGCCCAAAAGATAAGGAGACATGTAAAGTGCCCCATAAGGGCTACCTTTTCTTTTTTATTAATTTCTATATTTTGACGTTCATAAGTGCCACTTATGGTCTAAACTGAATAAATATTTTTGATTTTGATTGATAGTAGCGCCCTCTTGTCAATGTTGCTGGGACACTTCATAGTTGGACAATATGTAATTTGAATAGCATTCTGTTTCTTTTTTTATGGCAGACTTGGCTATTGAGAACCACGTTTCTTCCAATTCTTCCAAAAAACACTTATTGGGTCGTCTAAAATATGCTGAACCACTGAAAGAAGTGTGCTGCTAAAATTATTATTCACTCACTCACTCGCGACATACCGTGACGTCAAACAGTTCGTTCGCTACCGGTACCAACTGGTTTTCTGTTTATTATTCGCGAAATTATTCAAAATTATTCTGATACAACATTCGGCGCGCTTTCGCGATTGCTGACCTGCTTTGGATGTTTTAAGTGAAGATATAAGAAAACGCATTTACTGTAACTTTCATATTGGGAGGTCCTAGAGTTCTGTTTTAGGGTATTAAAATTGTTTTTTTTTATCCACAACGAGGAAACTTGGAAGGCGAAAGCGAGCTTCACCCGGAATCCTCAAACACGGAGGAACTGGCTATCTTATCTTTAACTGCCGGAACACAACAATGCTGTTAACATTGAAGTTTAGCCAGTACCTAGTATGTAATTGTATGTAAATTCCACTTAGCTTTAAAGAACTAACAAAGCAAGGCGTTTACTTGGGGTAACTAACCCTGGGTTGCACCATTTTACCTTAACTTTAACAAAACGTCAAAAGTCTGTCAAACAACATACAAAAACAGTTAAAGTTACGGTTAAAGTAAAGGTTGTTGTCAGCTATATCAATGGGGCTAGCAATCTCACAAAACCTGTTGTTATATGCATAAACCGTTTTCCCCTTACCCTTAACCATCATATTATAAGTGGGCAAATAATGTTTTGTTGAATCACGTATACAGGGTGTTAGGTAAATGGGTATATGAGCCGACACTAGCCCTTGTTAACACATTATGCATATAAATGGTATGGTGAAGTCAGTATCATCATTTTAATTCCTTAAATATTCATACAAAATAAAATTTATAAAATCAGATTTGTATGAAAATTAAAATAATTAAATAAAATGATGATATCAATTTTCTGACTTCACCATACCATTTATATACATATTTTAACATGGGCTAGTGTCGGCTCATATACCCATTTACCTAACACCCTGTATAACTTTTGACGAAATAACTTGACCTTTGTAAACTGGTTTATAATGCAAGTCATGTATGATGGACATGCATTTACATGGTTGCTGAGTCACTGTTACAATTAAGTTCTTATGTTTACTTATTCGTAAAAACAATGAGTTAGCGTTAATATCACATTATCTAAACAGAGAGATAACTAGTTTTGTTTTGGAGTATTTTAAACACATTTGGTTCTAATTTTAAGCCAGGCAATTCTTTCAACTTAATTTTAATATCGAATGTGCATTCTTCTGGGTTCTTGTGTATAGTCCAACAGCGTCGGACTGGCCATACAGTCGGGGTGGTATTTGCCAGCCGGGCCCCAGCCTGCGCGGGCCCCCCACGGCCTGGGTTGCGGGACTTGCGGGGCCTCTGTGCTACGGTTGCCCGCGTGCATGTCTCGGAAACTATGCGTCGTACAAAAAAATTGTACAGTCATACTAATTTGTAGAAAATTACTTTGCCTACAAATATGTTAATATAAATTTTTGCCTTAAATTAAAGATTGAAGAAGTTTTAAGCAAAAAAAAATCCTTTTTGCTTATGTATAACTTCTCTAATTTAATTTATGACAAAAAGTTATGTAAACACAGGGCATTCTTTAACCTACTAGGGGCCCTGGGCACTTACGGATCAAGGGGGCCCTTGTCATCTAGAAGAAGGTATTTTGAGACGGACAGACGGGGGCCCCCTCCGTCGCGGGGCCCTGAGCACGTGCCTAAAGTGCCCAGTGGGAAAGAGGGCTTTGACCATTTATGTTTCTTTCATGATGCCCTGGCCTTCATTGGTTGGATTTTTGGCAGTCAAGCAGTAGATACTCACATATAATCCTGAACTATAGAACAAAGCTACAATACCGAACGGTGAAGATGTCAGACTGGCCGACTCGGGATCCAAGGAACACTGGTTTGAACCCCGCCGCTGGACTATTGTGGGGAAACCACTCGTCACAAAAACATAAAATTGATAAAATTGCGTTCTCTAATAAATGCAATACTCGGAAAATTGCCAGAAAATGATGGAAGTTTTATTTTGCTTTTTTTATGTAATTACAGTGTTTAATTATCACAATTTCATTCACGCAAGTGACTTGTGAGAGACGATTTTCAGCATTAAAGCGCATTAAAACGAGACTTCGTTTTCTACTGGGGCAAGAACTGTTAGATTCGTTAATTATACAGTGTGAGTCACGATAAAGTGTACATATGAAATTAGGTGAAACTAGACCTATTTTTATCGACAAAAAAGAGGTCAAAATTTTTTTGAGATTTTTATTCAATTTTTTATATAATTTTTTTTCTTAAAANAAAAGACAATGCCGGAAATTGGCGTCTTTTTATTTTCGCGCGGCCATCGACCAAACCTTGTTTTTTGATTACAAAATAGTGTAATAAACCAAACTTAGTATGACATGTATACCTCTAAACTCAGTCTGAACTGAGTTACGAGCATCAGAAGTTTGATGATTTTCATACTAGATTTGCTGTTTGAGCGCAAGTTTTGTAAGAAATTGCAACAAAATAATGACATTGTATGTGTAAACAAACAATACCATCCATTAAAGGCTCCAGACATCAGTATGCAGCAGAATCAGCGCAATAAAAAAATAGCGCAATATTTTGTTGCAATTTCTTACAAAACTTGCGCGCAAAAAGCAAATCTAGTATGAAAATAATTAATCTTCTAATGCTCGTAACTCAGTTCAGACTGAGTTTAGAGGTATACATGCCATAGTAAGTTTGGTTTATTACACTATTTTGTAATCACAAAACAAAGTTTGGTCGATGGCCGCGCGAAAAAAAAAAGACGCCACCTTCCATACAAAATCTGGCATTGCCATTTGGCATGCAGGTACCTCAGTAAACTTAAAGCTTAGTTACAACAGGATATTGCAAAATTCCCACGGGAACGGGAGTTTAGCGGGAAAAAACATTTGTATGAAAAAATCTGAACCGCGTAAGATAGATGAAGGGGGGGTAAAACGAGATCCACGCGTACGAAGTCGCGGGCGGCCGCTAGTTTTAACTAAAATGCTTATTTTACTTCGAAATCTTTGTTTTTTATTTGAAATCTAACTTGTCTTTATCAAAATTACAAATCTAGAGCTTTTCAGTTTCGTTGTTAACGAAGCGTTGAATGGCGCGCCCGGAGAGGCTTAGTTCAAACGATCATAGCAAATGTTGTGATAAGGATAGAGACATGCGATTTTTGGTTTTACAAAGGTAATACGATAGAGAATAATGCAAAGTAATAAAAACCACCTGTTATAGGGGCTTTTTTTGGAGAAATTTATCAAATAACCAAAAATACACGAATTTAAAAGCAGATTTTTTTCAAAAAGTATCATTTTTTATTATTTGTTGGCATTTTCTGAGTATTTTATGTATTTTTTTAGTATCGTCTGTTATTTAGCATTATTACTGTTTTTTAGGATATACCTCTTAGTTTAAAAGTTATTACGTTTTCTTTACAATAGGTAAGTAATTGGAAGAAAAAAAAATCCTTAAATTTTTTTAAAAAAATCTCAAAAAAATTTTGACCTGTTTTTTGTCGATAAAAATAGATCTAGTTCACCTAATTTCATATGTGCACTTTATCGTAACTCACACTGTATTAAATACAGAATCGGATCTAATCAAGGATTACGAAAACAGCAGCTTTTACGATCGAGTCATTAACAGCTTAGCTGAAAGTTCTCCTGTTTTAAAAAAAATTTTGATTGGCTAGCTTTATATTATTATTTGTTATTAGTAAATACCTACTTATTATTTTACTTTATTTTAGTATTGTAATAATTTTTTTACAGTTTGTTTATCTCAATTTGTGTATCTCAGTATTTTTCGATAGTATCCCATCACCATGATCTAGTCTCGGGCCTCGGGATTGCTATCAGCCACCCGGGCCCTTCCGGCCCATACCGACCCTGAGTCCAATAAATCGAATCACAAATACGATAATGTAACTAAATAAATACTGAATACTCAACAATTTATTGCAATACCATATTTACATGCGAATATTACAAAATGAGAACAAATGTCATTTTAACTAAGCTAATATAGCAACAGCTGCCAAGCTAAGCTCTAACTTGGAATAAACGTGTTTATTTTAGACTTGTGCACACAATTTCTGAATACATTATATTCCGTTTAGATCATGTGATACTAGTACAGCATTCACCGGACGTTCAACTTTGTCCTCTTTGATCTGTGATAATAATGACGTTATACCACATTATTACATACAATTTAGACATTATACAGGTGGCTAACTTTTACTTGCTAGGGTTGTCTGTCATCCATCCAAAGTGCAAAAATAACGGGTTTATAAATTGTAGTTCGTTTTATTTGATTACAATCAAGAAACAAAATAGATCCAGTTAAATTCCAAAACTAGGAAAACTTTTGGTTGAATGTTATCATAATTATTTAGCTTTTTTTGTATGAATGTTTCTAAAAGTGAACACTAATGACTTGGGGGTTAAATTAAACGACGAACAGTCGTAGTTACATAATAATTTATTTCGTGGTCAATTAGTTCCATATAAAGAAACTAAACGAAAGTTGGTAAACACAAACTAAGCGGTAATTTTGGCTGTCTATTGATAGCTTGCGCGGCCTTAAGAAGTCACAAGTCTATTTTAATATTCACCAATGGACACTGATAATTTTGCAAGCAAAAGTCGAATAACATAAACATTAAATTGTCTATGATTTGATTGAGTATTACTTATCTTTGATTGCAGTGAAAAATATTAAACGCACAGAAAATTTCTGTTTGAGTCGTAACATACTTTATTTAGCTCTACAATAAAATTTATTATTCTTTACTAGTTTTCCGCCCGCGGCTTTGCTCGCATGGATTTTTTTATGTCACAAAAACTTTATCGCGCGCGTCCTTGTTTCAAAAACTGGGATAAAAACTATCCTATGTCCTTTCCCGGGACTCAAACTATCTCTATGCCTAAATTCATCAAAATAAGTTCAGTGGTTTAGGCGTAAAAGCGAGACAGACAGACAGACAGAAAGAGTTACTTTCGCATTTATAATATTAGTTTAGTACCTATAGATTCACCTGGTTGGCTTCAATATTTACTAATTGATTTGCCAATTTTATATCCAGTTTTAATTTCATAAATAAGTTTAGTATTTCATTTCATTAGACAATATTTATTAGATTCTTTGTAATATTTATATTGTATTGATTTGACATCTATGTATATATATAAAAGAAAGTCGTGTTAGTTACTTCGCTTATAACTCAAGAACGGCTGAACCGATTTAGCTGAAAATTGTCAGGGAGGTAGTTTAGAGCCAGGAGAAGGACATAGGATACTTTTTATCCCATTCGAAACAAAAAAAAAGTCTGCTTATTTATTGCCATTAAGGCGGAACAAAGTTCGCCGGGTCAGCTAGTTGTAAATAAAAATAACGACCATTCGATAACAATAACCGGATTTATCTAAGTCAAGTAGGTATTCACGCAAGTACTTACTGATAACTGTTTAGTAATGTACTGATTGGCATTCAGCCATCAGGATATGTTAATGAAGTGGAATTTTTACAATTCGTATTGGAATTTTTAAATTACGTTAGAATACAAGATTGATTAACACGGGTTCATCTAGTGTCTAAGTAGCTCAGTGGAAGTGGAAGAGCAGTCGCCCGGCAAACGGAAGGTCGTGGGTTCAATTCCCGCCTTAGGCAGTTCGATTTTTTCAAGTTATTTAAAATTTTCAAATTAGTTTGAGATACGACTCTTAACGCTAAAAAATTAAATAACTAACACGATGTAGAGTTTTACTGTTATAAATTGTTTTAGTTCGATACTTAATTATAACGGCGAAAAAATTTGTATTCGAAATAAATACATATTTTGCTAAAGATATTCTCGATGACATAAAAAATACCTACTGCCTATTTTATAAGTTTTTTAGGGTTCCGTAGCCAAAATGGCAAAAACGGAACCCTTATAGTTTCGTCATGTCCGTCTGTCCGTCTGTCCGTCTGTCCGTCTGTCCGTCTGTCCGTCTGTCCGTCTGTCACAGCCGATTTACTCGGAAACTATAAGTACTACAGTGATGAAATTTGATGGGAATATGTGTTGTATGAACCGCTACTAAATTATGNATGTGCTCACGATTCGTTGAAGGAATCAATTTGAAAACTGACGAACCTTTTCATTCTGTGACTGTAATTTACCTATGTTCCACTATTGTAATAGTTACACATTATTGTAATAGTTAAATCTCTTTTTTCGCATGGCATCAATTTAAGTACTTATTATTATTCTGTGGTAATACTAGCTTTTGCCCGCGGTTTCACCTGTGTGAAATTTAGTTTGTCACAGATAGTGCGTAAACATTTATAATATTAGTAAGATTTTATAGTCTAAAATTCCCATGTACGGAACTTACTTCTAAAGTGCAACGCACTTTATTGCCCGAGACGTAATTTTTGCGCTGACCCGATAATCCAGTTGGTATTGTTGATCGAAAAATAATTAGACTTGTTGAATTGAGCAACAATATATCAATATCAAAACGTAGATCGTCAATAACATCAATGTACACGTGCGGCACAATTTCATACTAAACGTGTTCTAACTGTAAACAGCTTCTCTGTAGCCGCAGGCTGTGGTCTGTGGCCAGTTTGTACGGACTCCCATTGTGTGTATTGCAGAGCCCTATAGAGGATTTATTATTTTGTTATGTGTATTGAAGCCACGATAGCCGAACGGTGAAGGGTTCAGACTGGCCAACTCGTGATCCGAGGAACGCGGGTTCAAACCCCCCGACTGTTATGGTGAGCTCACTCGTGAAACAAGCATTTAGCTTAGTACGAGGGGCTAACGGGACTATTAGTGATATGTGCGATAAAATTTGCTAATAATCTTTACAAATTTTACGTGTTGGTCATCATAGCGCATAGAATTGAATCGGTTTCATTCATTTGATATGGTGACATTTAAACCAGAGTGTTGTGACGTGTCGTGTCGAATACTGAATCTATGAAATCGGTTCCATTCTGATGCGTCACGAACGACAGAGAAATATAACTCCAGCTTTAGACCAAGGAACTTTAAACTTGTCCCCCTCACCCGTAGTTAGATCTATTAGCTAGTACTCCATTTCCTCTTCACTCTTCCTTCTCTCTCTGGCTTGCCGATAGAAAACCGCGAAATTGACTCATTGCTCGTTAGTTACAGAGTCGTGCTGGAGGTGGCGGGCAACTCGGACGCGGTCATACTGAGCGGGCTGGAGGCAGATACACAGTACCAAGTTACTGTGGCTGCACTGTGGGGCGGTCATAAGTACAGAAGCAGGCCTATTGTCTTCCGCACACTGGGTGAGTTTTAAAAAGTTTGCTGCATAATATAACAGGTTTCCATGTGACTACAAGTAAATTATACTCGGACGCGGTCATACTGAGTGGGCTATAGGCTGATACACAGTACCAGGTTACTGTGGCTGCACTGTGGGGCGGTCACAAGTACAGAAGCAGGCCTATTGTCTTCCGCACACTGGGTGAGTAAGAATAGTTCTTTCAATGAGGTCACAGTCATCACCTATAGAAATAGATGCGACTATACTGAGCGGGCTGGAGGCAGATACGCAGTACCAAGTTACTGTGGCTGCACTGTGGGGCGGTCATAAGTACAGAAGCAGGCCTATTGTCTTCCGCACACTGGGTGAGTTAAATTCTTTTCATGCGGTCTAGCCATCTCAAATGAATAGAAACTCGGACGCGGTCATACTGAGCGGGCTGGAGGCAGATACGCAGTACTAGGTCACTGTAACTGCATTGTGGGGTTGCCACGAGTGTAGAAGCATGCCTATTGTCTTCCGCACACTGGGTAAATGAGAATAGTTCATTAGAAAAAAAAGAGAAACTCAACATACTGAGGTAGTACTGAACAGCGTCCGAGATCTAGTACCAGGTCACTGTAGCACGCACTGTAGCGGGCACTTTGGGATGGCCATAAGTATAGGAGCAGGCCTATTACCTTCCACACACTATGTGAAATGTCTGAACTCTTGTGGTATAATCCAATGGGAGGGCTTTTTGTTGACACGTACCTACAGGTCGTACTTGTTCACTGGATCAGTTAAAATACCTTTTTTAAAATAAGATCAGAGGTGGCTGTCGCAAGTATTTAAGTATGTTTATATCCGTTGTCAAGTACCCATAGTACAAGCTTTGCTTAGTTTGGGACTAGAAGCGTGGTGTAAAATGTCCAAGGATAATATTTTATTTATTTATTCTTGCAAATAAGTAAGTATATCACTATTCACAAAATACCTAATAAAATCTAAAGAAACCACAGACAGTTGAATTAATTTCCAGAGTACAGATAGACAGGTGGTAGGCCAGTAGAATTAAGCACAAAAATTGATTAAATCGGAAATAATTCCTACAAAAGATTTTTTTGCTTTAATGGCTTCATTGGTTGCCCATTAAGACTCTCCTAAGTTTTCGACTTCGACGGAGTTGTGCTTAAGTGGTGGGGGCCCCCGAAAGGGGCGTTTTTTCGGTTTTCCGGTTATACGCGTAACGGACTTACCCTATCGAAAAGTGGNCACAGTCATCACCTATAGAAATAGATGCGACTATACTGAGCGGGCTGGAGGCAGATACGCAGTACCAAGTTACTGTGGCTGCACTGTGGGGCGGTCATAAGTACAGAAGCAGGCCTATTGTCTTCCGCACACTGGGTGAGTTAAATTTTTTTCATGCGGTGTAGCCATCAACTCATCTCAAATGAATAGAAACTCGGACGCAGTCATACTGAGCGAGCTGGAGGCAGATACGCAGTACCAGTCACTGTGACCGCACTGTGGGGCTGTCATAAGCACAGAAGCAGGCCTATTGTCTTCCGCACACTGGGTGAGTGAGAATAGTTCTTTCAATGAGGTCACAGTCATTACCTATAGAAATAGATGCGGCTATACTGAGCGGGCTGGAGGCAGATACGCAGTACCAAGTTACTGTGGCTGCACTGTGGGGCGGTCATAAGTACAGAAGCAGGCCTATTGTCTTCCGCACACTGGGTGAGTTTTAAAAAGTTTGCTGCATAACACAACAGGTTTCCATGTGACTACAAGTAAATTATACTCGGACGCGGTCATACTGAGTGGACTGGAGGCTGATACACAGTACCAGGTCACTGTGGCTGCGCTGTGGGGCGGTCACAAGTACAGAAGCAGGCCTATTGTCTTCCGCACACTGGGTGAGTAAGAATAGTTCTTTCAATGAGGTCACAGTCATCACCTATAGAAATAGATGCGACTATACTGAGCGGGCTGGAGGCAGATACGCAGTACCAAGTTACTGTGGCTGCACTGTGGGGCGGTCATAAGTACAGAAGCAGGCCTATTGTCTTCCGCACACTGGGTGAGTCAAACAACTCATTTGCAATGTAATAGATAGAGACTCGGAAGCGGTTATACTGAGCGGGCTGGAGACAGATACGCAGTACCAAGTCACTGTGGCCGCACTATGAGGTAGCTACAAGTATTAGAAGCAGGCCTATTACCTTCCACACACTGTGTGAAATGTCTGAACTCTTGTGGTGTAAACCAATGGGAGGGCTTTTTGTTGACACGTACCTACTAGGTCGTACTTGTTCACAGGATCAGTTAAAATACCTTTATTTTTTCAATAAGATCATAGGTTGCTGTCGCAAGTATGTAAGTATGTTTATATCCGTTGTCAAGTACCCATAGTACAAGCTTTGCTTAGACTAGAAGCGTAGGTAGTGTAAAATGTCCAAGTATATTGTTTCGTTTATTTATTTTATTTATTTCTTGCAAATAAGTATCACTATTCACAAAATACCTAATAAAATCTAAACCACAGACAGTTGAATTAATTTCCAGAGTACAGATAGACAGGTGGAGGTAATACAGCCGGTCCGGTTAGTGCTAACGAGTCCCTCGCATGTCTCTTAGCCCGTTCACGGCGCACGCGAGCCGAGCACCAAACATTGTTTGAACTTCGACATGGACTAGGGTTTGCACTGTGCAATATTTATTTACAGCAAAAACACGGTCACAGTGGTGATAAATAATTATGAATCGAATATTCGTCTTTCTTTTTTGAATAAATAAGGAGACATTTTTTTAGAAACATCAGATATTAGTTGTTGAACTCTCTTAATGTATGTATATGTCACTTATTTAACAGAGTTTTTTTTTAAATAAACCTGTATGATTTTTGTTAAGTGGTTTACCGACTACAGCTGAGAGATATTTTATTTTTTACATCTAGATAGGTACTTACCTAAACACATTTAGCATCTTTTTTGTCTCGTCAATATTTCAGAGCATTCTCTACTAACGGTCTATACGAATAAATTCGAAAAAGTATTTGTATGGCAACAAAAAAATAAAACTCAAAAGGTAACCACTTTCCATGTCAATGTTTTATCTGTGGTCTTCACAGACGTCGTTACTAAGGGTCTGCGGTCCAATCAAAACCTAATAGTCAAGAGTGATTGACAGCCCTAACGAAAGCTGCGGAGTGCACACGAGTGCACGTAAAATGAAAATGCGATGTGCAGCAGACCGTGTTGGTATTTCAGTTATGTGGTCTCGCCGGATTACTAATGTTTGGCCAAAAAACGTATCCCAAATTATCACATCGCAAACAACGTTTCGCAAATTTTCACTTGGCAAATTCTCATTTGGCAAAGCAACTTATTGCAAACTTTTAATTCGCAAATGTTGTTTTTGGCATATTATTGTTTAGCAAATTATTGTTTGGCAAAGTATGGTTTGCCAAATGTTTCATTAGGCAAAAATATTTCACGATAAACTATTAACAAAATAATTTGATTGGTGCATAGAATGGAATACAAATTAACTTGTGGTTATTATTTTGTTTAGTGGGTAGTTAATATAAAATTTGTTNTAATTATTTATGTAATATGGCTTCCAGTGTGACTCCTGCGCTATAGGTACTCATAGCGAGTGACCGGAGCATGAAGCTGCAGCCAGCGGCGCATCAGCGGGGAGTCCCACCGGTNGTGGGTAACGGGGTACCCCCCGTTACCCACAAATCAAAGTATAAGTATGTGAAGTGTCAATTTGACCAAACAAATTATTTGGGATATAATATTGGGCAACATAAAACATTTGCTATATAAACATTTGCCAAGTAAAATTTGGCTAAATGATAATTTGACCAAACGAATTAGTTGCGAAAAGTACAGTTGCTAAAAGTTTATTTGGGAAATGAAACTTTGGCGATAAGTTGTTTGCGAAGTGAAATTTGGCGAAAAGTAATTTGGCCAAACGGAAGGATACCGGTCTCGCCTTTATCCGGATTTTAATAAAACGCCGTTTTACACTAAACGAAACGTCATGCACCCCTACTATGATTTAAATATGTATGTTTGTGATTTTTGACAATGATCAGAAACACGTTGTCAGCTATCTTCATTAGGTCACCGGTCTATCGATCAGGTGCTTACAATTGCCGATAAATATCTGGGGGCACGGCAGTGCCCCCACCAAGTCGAGCAAAAAAGCGGCACGGCCATACCATCCTTTTCTCAAAGCAATTCAGGCCATTTTCGACTGCCTGTAACTTCGTTGTGGATAAAACTAGAAGGTTGAATTTTCATTAGCTATGCAGGCATTGTAAAGACACGGTATGTTTAAAATTTCATTCAATTTGAACCAGTAGTTTAAGAATTATAACGGGTCAAAGTTACTTAATTTTGTCACTCACTGACTCACCGATCATCAAAACTCTAAGGCACTTCTAGCAGACCTAGAAGCTTCAAATTTGGAATATAAGTAGTGTTTGGTGTATGAATCAAGGAAAAACTAAAATATTTGGGGGCACGGTAGTGCAACCGCCAAGTTGAGTAAAATTTTTCAATTTCGGTCCAGTTTTCTAGATACATACCTGCTGTCTACAAAATACAAAAAGAAATGAGATTTGGGGGCACGGTAGTGCAACCGCCAAGTCGAATAAAATTTTTCAATTTCGGTCCAGTTTTCTAGATACATAACTGCTGTCTACAAAATACAAAAAGAAATGAGATCCCATCAAAAACAATACTTGTCGAAAAAACCAAGTCTCGCAACTCAGTTGTTCTACGGTAAAAAGTTGTGAGATCCATGTAATACTAAGTCCAGGCCAGGAAATCTTTAACGTTTTACATAAATATATTGACTTGGCCATCGCATGAAAACACGTGTAAATTAAATTATTTAGTGCGATGGCCAAGTCAATAATTTATGTAAAACGTTAAAGATTTCCTAGCCTGGACTTAGTATTACATAGATCTCACAACTTTTTACCGTAGAACAACTGAGTTGCGAGACTTGGTTTTTTTG